TAACAACTCTGAGCTATTAGTTAAGTTCTCCCCAAGCGAGCTCGATGGGCCGAATGGCCTCCTCTCGTTTGTATAGTTCTTATGTTCTTATGTTCTTATGACTCGTAGCCAGTTAACTTAATTAGTTGTGAGATACTCAACCAGATGTTTTGCTTTAGGAATACACAACTTTTCCAGTCTCTTGTTACCCCTGTTCCAAATTTTTGAAACGTGTTGCTGGCATCAAATTCAAATCGAGCATATATCTGTCAAAAAAACAATAACATTTCACAGTTTCAGCATTTGATATGTTGTCTTTGTTCTATTTTCAAATAAATACTGGTTTATATGATTTGTAAATTTGTACATTTTACACAGCATCCTAACTTCTCCATCTTCCTTTATAGAGTTTTTTTTTGTTTTAATAAACGAGAAGATGTCCCTAAAAGTCCAGACCAGCAACATCACCAACAAGAATGATCCCAAGTCCATCAACTCGCGTGTCTTCATTGGGAACCTCAACACGGCCGTGGTGAAGAAGTCAGACGTGGAATCCATCTTCTCCAAGTACGGCCGGGTGCTGGGCTGCTCCGTCCACAAGGGCTACGCCTTCGTCCAGTATGCCAGCGAGAGGCACGCCCGGGGTGCTGTGATTGGAGAGAACGGCCGTGTCCTTGCGGGACAAACATTAGGTACAACCTGGCATCTTCTCCCTGTGGCATTTCTACCCAATCTGGAATGTTTCTGTCTATCTTGCTCTCAAAGATAAACATGATTTTTTTTACTAGCCAATTAGTGATGATTTCAATTTTTTAAATCCTAAATTACTTACATAGCCATTTTACATGTATAATAAGCTGAAGAAAAAATTTAAAGACAGCACCAAATTCTACCACACAATCTCTGACTGTGTTGCTGGCATAATGTCACTGAAGTGTAAATCAAGCTTAACATTGTTATTTACAGGGTTACTGTATCATATCCTAAGAGTAGCGAGTGGTGGCAGGAAAATGTATTAATAATAACTGTGTCGGGCAGTTGAAATTAAGTTTTAAAATCTTGAGAAAACGGACAGAGTAATATGCTCAGTTCGCCCTGTGCTTTGAGCTCGTCTTCTCACGTACACTGAAAGAATCCCATTCGCTGCTCATCTCTCGACTTTCTTTCACCGCCCCGTCAGCCAAACCCCCACCCCACTCTTCCGCCATGTGCACCTTTTTCACGTTTTTCAACAGGCTTTCAGGCTAGCTCAATTTTCTCTTTTCTTTGTTGAGAGAGCTGGATCTCACGATTTGCCAGTTTTCAATGCACGCTTAAACTGCATGTTCAAAAGAACCAGGCCACTAATATGACTAAAGTACTAGAAAAATGATAAAGGTCCCATGGTCATACATCCCTTCACCTGCTGCAGGCCACCTGCCGTGAAAGTCAGCTGAAGGAATTGCAATTTCAAATGTATTTATTTTTGTTCAATGGCATTAATATTCAAACCAAAGTGATTAATCAACAATATTACACAGTGTCATTTCTATATGGTATAATAGTAATTGTAAAGAAAATGCACAGGTTTAGTGGCTGAAAGCTGTCTCTCTCTGCGATTAAAAGACGGCTTTGCGGATGCTATGTCCAATCATGGCTGTAATGCTGAAATATGACCGGGGCCCATGGAAGCCGAATGGAATACTGCAAAATTCCTCAAGCCTGAGGAACCTTTTTTTTTCCCTGTAATCTACTTTCGGTCAAATTCACCAGTGTTGAATAAAACCAAGCCATACCTAGTCTGACATTTTGGGTCGTTGGATTTATGTCAAATTTCCACATCTTCACTTTCGGATAATCCGCAAACGATTTGAATAAATTAAGTATGATGAGATGGTTCCGGTTACCGTGAGACTCCTCAATTATCCTTGTGCCCACCTTAAGCCATTTCATCCCAAAGTCCAGTTTTTCCTTTGGTACAGGTAGCAGGCAAAGGCCGAGGGGGTCGATGTGTGATGTACTACAAGGTCGGTGTGACCAGGATCAGAAAAAAATCAGGACAATTCTTCCAAATTGCCTTTACCTGTGCTTTTTGCTCCAGAGTCAACTGGGGCCCACAGGGGAATAGAGCAGGATTAATTGTTTGGGGAAGGTCTAGACTTGACTTCAAAGGGTCCTCTTAAAGAAACAGCAGCACCGTTTTCATACAGTGCTCATATCAGTGCAACACATGGTTGAGTAAACAGAAACTGCTATTGAATGTGTACCAGCTGTCTGTTACTTAATACAATGTAACAAAAGTAATAACAGTTATGCCTGATTTCATATAGTGTTCTTAAATGAACAGCAGCTGTGCCACTTTACACAGTTATAATAACTGAGTAACAGCTATGTGTGATTTTATAGAGTACTCTTAATAGTGTAATACAAGACCGATATATAATGCCTTTAACAGTCGTCAATGACTTTATACAGTGATCTTCAAGGAATAACAGCTGTGCATGATCAAATGCAGCATTCCTCAAAGTGCAGTGTTCAAATGCAGTGTTCCTCAAAGTGCAGTGTTCAAATGCAGTGTTCCTCAAAGGTGTGCTGCTGTGTCACTGTACACAGTTCTTGTTTTCTGCCACAGGTGTCAAACTGAAGACTCAATACTAGTGGTGATAAAGGCTCTAATCCAGAATACAAGAAGATTTTAGAACATGGACACATGCTATACATAGTTTTTTTTTTCAATTTACTAAAGTAGTGTAATATTTGGCACCATTATCAGAGTCACTATGCTAAAAGAAATATGACAGCTTGTCAAGGGGAACTGAGAACTAGCTAAATAAATGAATTGTTGTTGGAACCAAAGAAACTGCAATCTGTTTTTAACTGACACAAAACCTGGCATAAATGCTAATGAAAGAGTCACATCAGCCAAACCATACAAGTTTGATAGCGAGTTTGTGAGGATGTGCTTGCTGAAAGCTGCAGAAATCAGGCGCTCTGAAGAGCACTGGGCTTTGGCAGCATAAATCTGATGAGGAATGTGATTACAGGCAGAATTTCCAGTTTCTCGTGTTTTCCTTTGTTTTCTTCATTCAAGAGCTCTTGGTTAATTATTGTATTGTGGTCATGTACTGTTGCAATCAGAAATATTCAATCCCATACAATATTGTTGTTTTATAAAGCTTTCTGGAAGTTTTTATGGCTCAAAGTGGAGTTGAAACATAATTATGCCTTTGGGAACTCTATAATGATCCTTCATTTGCTTCAGCTGTGATGCATATATAAACCCCACCCATGAAGGTATTCAAGGTGAGCTGCAATCAAGGGAAAGACAATGGAACTTCTGCAAAAGGATGGATTCCCAGAAATATCAGGCCATTTCAAGGAGAAATGTGATGCCTTCTGTTGACAAATTGCACCTTGGTGATCACTGGAGTTTCCAGCAAGACAACGATCCCAAGCACACCACCAAATCAACCAAAGCTTAGTTGAGAAAAAGATCCAGGAACATCATGGAGTGGCCTTGTCAGTCGCCAGATATTGTTGGGATTTAAAGAAGGCAGTTGCAGCACGGAGGCCATCAAACACCACTAAGCTAGAGGCTTTTGCGCGTGAAGAATGGGCAAAGATCCCGATTGAGAGGCGTAAGAAGCTTGTCAGCACTTACCGAAAACGTTTGTTAGATGTTATGACGTTATAAAAGCTAAAGGATGTTCCACAAAGTACTGAAGCTGGGGGTTGAATACGGCACATGCACATGTGTTGTTTTTCATCTGATCTTCAAAGTTAAGTCAACCTCTGTCAAATTAACCCAGATATGTATCAGTGTTTTGTTTAATGATTTTTTTTTGTCATTTATTGTCATTATCTTTCATCTACATTACTGTCATGTCTTTTGAGGTGAAGGGGTTGAATTTGTCTGATTGCAACTGTATAAACTTTGGGATGGCTTTGATTAGAGGCAAGTGTATATGGGGGGGGGGGTAAGTGGGATATCCCCATCCCCCCTCCCCCCACTGAAATTATGAAAAAGGTGTTAATCGTTATTAGCCTGCCACTATACATAGAGCCCCACTTTGGGTCCAAAGTGACCCAATAACTGAAGAGTTTGACATGCATTTATATACAATACTGTGCTGTTTAATAATTTCTTAGTGAGCATTGTGCTGGGTGCCCTGTATCTAAGACCCACTTTCATGACAAGTATTACTCTAATGCTGAAAAGTTTCTCTCCATATCTGTCCCCAGACATCAACATGGCAGGAGAGCCCAAACCAAATCGGCCCAAAGGTTTGAAGAGATCTGCTGCCCTCTACAGGTGTTCAGAATCCCTGAATATTTTTTTTCTTTCCTTTGGGCCTTTGGCCCAAAATTTAACGGCAGCATTTTATCCAATTTTCAAGTACTACTTGTATTTCCCACTGTGCTAACTACTGTGTTATTGCATTCTTTTTTCTCCCTTTGCAGTGGCTATGATTTTGACTATGACTACTACAGAGATGACTTTTATGACAGGTGCGTAAAAAACTATAACTGTTTTTTTTTTTTTTTTTAAATAATAATTAGATCCATATTTGTAGAATGTGAATTAACGGCCGTGTATGTAATTTGCTGCATTAACATAATTTTCCATGGGGGGGCACCACAGTACTGTACCTGTTTCTTTGTCCTTGCTCCTTTTGGGGCTTGTTTCTTAATGGCAAGTGGCTCTGTTTACAAGAGCTCGCATGCATGGTCAGAAAACAGCATTTTTTTTGTCAGGTGGCGCCTCCCATTGGGCTCCCAATGCATTGCATTGGCTTGTGTGGGTCCCTGCCGTCTCTCTCTCTCTCTCTCTCTCTCTCGCCCTCTCTCTGCTGGACGCCTGTACTTGCAGATGTTTCGACATCATATCCATATGACTAACACGTGTAAAGCAGTTGGAGATCTGCCTGTGATGTCTGGCCCTCCCAGACTTTCTGCCGCCCCTCCTCCCCCTCTGACACGTATCAATATATTACACGGATGATACCCAATAATTTAAGCCCTGTTTTTGCTTTCAAGTGGTATCAAAGGGTTCCTGAAGAGTAGGCAGCTGGGGAGGGGGCCGGTGCGGCCCCATGAGGGGGTACACGCCAGGGCAGATGGTCTCATCCACCTCATCAGCTCCTGCCCGCCAACCCCTGCCTGTCAACCTCGCCAATCCGCCCGATCAATCAAACCATCAGCACACTCAGAGCTTTGAGCGAGTCGTCGACAGGCACTGTGCCGCGCGTGTTGATCGCAGGGAATTAAAAATCAGGAAAACTGATTCGCCAGACTGGGAGGAAAAAAATAATCATCATTGCTGTTTGAAGAAACAGTGATGGAACTGAATATGAAGTAAAAATGATTTTGTTTAGATGGTGGGAGGTCAAGTTCTTTATATGTTAATTCTTTTAAACTTCACTGTGAGAACCAAGAAAATATTAATGGTTTTTTTTTTTTTTTTTTTTTTTTAAAGAATTAGTAATTTATTTTTATTTCTGTGTTTCTCTCCCACAGGAAGAATTTATAAAACATATACAATACTTAATTTGAAGTTTGTTTAATCTGCTTGGTGGAATTCAGCAATTATCAGAGTAATTAAAAACAAAGTATGTTGATTTCAATAGCTGCGTGGTGCTTTGATCTGAGATGTTGAGACCAGAATACTGGCACTAACATCAGTCTGATGCTTATGAATTCCCAAAGGCTGTTCGACTACCGAGGCAGAGTGTCACCCATCCCCCGCGTGGTGCCAGTGAAGCGCCCCCGTCTGGCCGTGCCTCTGGTGCGCAGGGTGAAGTCGCTGCCCTCTAAACTGCTGACGCGCTCCTCTGTCGTTCCCACCAGCTCCGTCAGGCAGAAGGGTGAGTAAACTGCTTTCCCCTTTCACACATAATCTTTCTCATGCTGGAAATTTTACTGCAACACAAGAAACCAGTTTTCTCCTGTAAACTGGCTTTGAAGCACGTGTGTTTCATTTAAGTGCTATGGTGACTTTTTTTCTAATAAAATAATTCATGCTTTTAGCTTTTCGAGTAATGTTATACCTTATAAAAATTTTCATTCCACCGCACTGAATGAACTTCATTGCCATTCCTTCCTGTCGATGCTGGGCCGTTTTAGCTATGAAATCCAGCGAACTGCAGGCGATCAAATCAGAGCTCACCCAGATAAAGTCCAACATCGATGCCCTCTTGGGCCACCTGGAGCAGATCACCGAAGACAAGCAGGGCACCACAGGTGAGAAGCCCCCCCCACTATAGTCCTTATCCATGCCTGGTCCTCAGTATTTTAAGACATATATCTCTATTTGTTTTCATCCTGGTGATTCAGACGTCAGATTGTTCCTCTGATCCTTTCATCGGCAAAAGGGATTATTTATGTCGGAACACAGAAAAATGACCCACCAGCGGTGGTGCAATAGTGAGGCTGTTCCGGACATTTGCGCCCTGCAGAACCTGCATGTCATGCATGTGTGCAGAATGAGATAGTCCAGCAGGTGGCAGGACCACACAGGCAAACAGTCGTGCTAGCCTGCTTCACCAATCCCCTCATGCCGGCCAAGCAGACGCTGCATAAACAACATCCTGGAAGGTCCTTTGCTGTTTATTTTTCTGTAACGCGAGGTGGACTCAGCTCATCTGATTAACTAGCCTGATCCACAGATTTAGAAATATTATCGGCACGAATATGTCCCACGTCGGCAGTAATAAAAATGGGAGACTCAAGTCAGAAATGTTGTTCCTGCCATCTGAAACCATGTTTTCACCATTCTTACAGCCTGATTGCTAAATCTAAGCTAGGATTTTACTCTCAGAAACATGAACCGCGGAGCAAATATTGACAGTCCGCAAAAGCAGGACAGATGTGTTGTGCATATAAAGGCTTATGCTACATTCGGGCAATTTGTCTTTGCATTCCTGGGTCCTACAGTTTAATATTTTTATGCTTGGGGGGAAAAAAAAAAGTCTGTCTCTCCATCTATCCATCCATCCACCCACTGCTTGACCAAACAATGGGATGCCCTGCCCCAATAAGTATACATAATCCGTGTCAGCAAAGAATGAATTTGAGTGCTAAAATTGTGCTTATTGTTGGGGGAAATAAACATAAACGGTGGCTACTATGGTCATATCACCCCTCCCCCTTAATTTGTGTGACATTAATCTGCTGAGCAGTCCCACCCTCTCTCCACCTAGAGCTCCAGAGGGCTGAAGAGAGCAAGAGCGAGCTGTCGCAGGACGATTCGGGCTCAGACACGGAGGAGCTGACGGAGGAGGCCCACAGGAGCGAGGGGGAGGATGAGGGGGACGGTACACAGGATGAAGAAGAGGAAGACATGGTGAGCTGGAGAATGGGAGCGAGGACCTTGAAGGGAGGGCTGACAAACGACAGCATTTGTATGCATTTTGGCTTTTTTGCTGTGGCCACACATGCTGCTACTTTTATTTAAAGACATGACGTCCGTCGTGTTTGTTTTGCAGGAAAACTGCCACTTATCAGAAATGGAGTCTATCCTGCAATAAAAGGCAAGTCTGAAATGATGAAAAAACCCATCTTACTGGAGCCCGCCCCCACCACCCCCACCCTCCAATGACTGCACATGTCACATACATATTTGCCTGCTTGGCATCCTGTCTGGGACACGGCCTTGCCTGCCATGCATCCCATTGGCTGCCGGCATAGGCACCCTTTCCACACAGACCCTTAAGGGTGGAATGTGGTTTGTCAGAATGTGTGACTGACAGCAAATATCAACCAATCAGATGCTTTGAGACTTGGTTGATGCTGCTGTGGTCTGTGGTCTTCTCAGTACACACCTTTGTGTTAAAACTCTACATAACACCAGCCATCAATATATTAAGAGAATATAATAGATCTTTATGGTCATTGGTTTGAAAACAACAAAAGATCAGGTTAACTTTAGCACCTTGCTCTGGGACAGTACATCAACTGAGATTTATGTTAAATAAACATGTTTTAATAGAAAAACATTGTTACTCTTGTTCTAAGTCTCGATTTCTTTTATTTAGTGATAAAATGTAGCCCAGCCTTCTTCCAGGAACCTAGGCACAGTGTGCACATTGCATAATCCATCCATCCAGCCATCTTCTAAGCAGTTATCCTGGTTAGGCTCAAGGGGATGGGATCTGAGAGCCCGAACTAGGCAGCACAAGCCCAACCTTCCGTAGTGTTTAAATATCCTATGTTTTTTATTAAACGTCAGCATTATTTGACCATTAATAGCTTAACTAATAGTTATGGGAGAAGTGAGTCTTCAAAATACTGTTTTTTTTTTTTTTTAACCCACTACCTCCTGGCTTCTGATTTGATGAAAGCCATGTTTGGAAGATAATCCAACCCATAATGGGTTTTGCGGACTGATTTTGATAATCATTAAATGGGCTAAAAGTGAGGAGCAAAAAAAGTCTGCATTTTTCCATTTATCACGGAGCCCAAAGTATTAAAGATCAGTCAATGCAAAAATGTTAAAGAACATTTTTTTTTTAAGAGCGGTGTGGTATAGCTAGCACAATATTACGAAATCTCTCCAAATGCCCCAGTGGTGTCTTTCATTGAGTGTCTGCATAAAGCAGGATAGGTTGCTTCTGTTCGGCACAATGTGGCAAATGGCTTCACCCACATGGACAGAGTTACAAAAACATAGCCTATTATTATTATCATTATTATTATTCTTAATAATCCAGATTCAAGGTGAAGAGGCTTTGCTTCCTCAGATGTTAATGCCTACTCAGCTGCACCTCAGATATTGCAGGAGACTTCAAAAGGTAGACGGGCAGTCCGAGTCCGATTCCCGTGTGATCCCCGGCGCGTCCGGCACAGACCGGCTGCTTTGCACGACTTCGTCCTGTCGCATCATAGATCGTGTTAACTCTGGCTTAAGCCGCCCCTCCCCAAATAAGCCTGAGCTCAGAGCGTCGGGGAGCTGAGCAGCAGTCACAGATGTCTTCAAATTTATTGGATTCGTCATACAGCCTAAAACTTCATGTATCATACAGTAAGTCTGTTTTGATTGGATGGGCACTTTATCTCTCCCCAACCTTATTTATGCTAGTTGTGTTCCAAGCAGATGTGTGGTTTGTATATACAGAAGGAATCAGTTTCAGAAAATTGTTTAATTAGAATGCAATTAGTAATTAGCTGGTTTATAAGAAAGCATAGATACTTCCATAACCATAAACCACATGTAGCGTGAATAATTAATTAATTAAATTTAGACTAATCTAGAATCAGAAATTAACCTGATTTTATATGTAATGTTGGCTCATTTTTTGGTCATGCTTTTGTATTCTGTTATTTTGGCTATTGTCTCTGTCTTTTTTTTTTCCTCCTCCCTCCTTTTATGGCACTACTTGTTTTGTTGTTTTGCAATCAAGTATATATGTAATTATGAGCTTGAATTTATGCAAATGATACAGAGCCTTTTGAAGTGCCCCAGAAACATGGCCCAAAGAGAATCTTTCGCATTCCTCGACCATATCTAAGTGATTACCCACAATACAGTCAATAAGCAGAATGTTTATTTTTGACTTTACAAAATAATTCAACAATTATGTTGCGTAATTGATTCAGCATGACTCACAGTGTCAGACCGAACGTTTTTTAGTTGTATTGGAGATCTGTATTGGAATCTGGCATAGAATGCTCTGAATATCAAATAATTTATTATACTATTTTGGTATACGAGCTGTAATATATCTTGATTTATGTTTGGTCATAGCTGGACTTTGTTCCCCTTTGTTGTCTTGGATGTGAAGGGGAAAATATTTCATGAGAGCTGTTGAGCTTTAAAAGCAATTGAGAAAAATAAAAACACATGTGAGGACTAATGCCGCTCTTCCTTTTCTTGTACAGTCAGCGGGACGCTGGAAAAGGCCGCCAACTGGAGACTGTTTTAGTACTGCAGTAATGACAACAAGACAGCAACACCAGGGGTGCCGCCTACCTTCAGACCTGGCCTGCCAGGAGACGGACGGCTGACCGCCGAGTGGGGGGGGAGCGGCCCTGGGAGCTGGATAAGATTAAACGTTACTCTCCCACCGTGCCACTGACTGACTAAATACAAGCGATAACAGCAGATCACAGTCTCCTCCAAACATGGGCTAATTCTTTTCCAAAACAGATGAAAAAGAAAAGGTTTGACACCCAAAACATACTTTTAACAAAACGTTTCTAAAATCTAATAAACAAAAGGATGGACATTTTATATTGATACTGGATCTTGAAGAGACGACCATACCTTCAGTTCAACCTCTCCACTCTGATTTTTGTGTTTTATCAGTGTGTTTTTTTTTTTTTGATTCATTTTTACATGTTGACTTTAAACAGGCACAAATTTTATTTTTAAAGTGTATATTCAAGACTACAAAAGATCTGAACAGATGTAAATAAATAAATTGAACTTGTTCAAGTGCAAGCAAACTGTACAATCACTTGTTTGTTTTGTGTTACTGTGTATTTGCTTGTTTGTTTGTTTTGTGAGCTGGCATTTGCAAGCCAGTGTGATTCTGCAAAGTTTTCTACACTTCCTGAATTTCTTGAACAGCATTCAAAGTCTTTCACCTCTTTCTTCAGACATGAAAAGAACACGGTTGTTTTTGGTCCAAGCATCAGAATCACAAGGCCAGTTTTTTGTTTGCTTACAGAACAGTTTTGCCAGGCATAGATTAACGCTGGTGCGCAGCTTGCTGTATAAGGGCCATTACAGTGGGTGATGCAACTGTATATTGTGCTAGTCACTTGAACTTTACCCTCTAGCTGCATTTTGAGTGAGAATCAGACAAAAGTGCTACACATTCCCACTAAGGGACACACACAAGCGCAGACCTTCACATATATAAATGCATTTTTCTGCGGCTCTCTGCAGACTCAGAAGACCCCCTTTAACACGTCTTCTCCTAAAAAATGGATTTGAACAAACAGAATAAGTGTTGCTCCTCTTCCTTGGGAAACACAATAGCTAATTATCTTTCAGTTTATAATTGACACGATTTGCTTGCCGCGATGCATTTGCATTTTTTGTGGTCATCCGCACCTCATTTGCATGATCTAAATCTTGCATGGTTTTGTTTCTAGGTAAAATAATTTGAATCTGGTATACCCAACATGTGTTTTCCTTTTGTTACTAGTTCTGGGGTGGGGGGGCAGGGGGGCCGAATTCCTCAATTTTACTACATGGATTTCAGTCCCTCCAGAGCTATGCAGTGGAACAGTCAAGGTATGTCTTACAAACTGGGGCTGCAGGTGGGTCAGTATTTGCAAGTCCGGCTGCACTGCTGGTAGTTCTCTCCCTCTGTCTCTGAAGCACAGCCAAAGTCTCCCACCAAGCACATTAGCAAATGCACCAGTAAATCTAGGGATTTCATTTCTGTTTGCTTCTTGTTGTGTTTAAAGAAAACGAGTGAGGCATAAAATAGAGGATCAGATGAAATTGATCAAGCTCAAGGAAATTCCTGGGATAAAGGTTCTTTTTTTGCAACAATGATATTTGAAAACATCTCAGTTGTATTCCTTGATGACTTTGTAATAAGTATATTTGACTTCCTGAAGGTGGTTTTATGCAACTCAGCAACATGAAATATTTACTCATTTGCTCTTTATCAAGAAATTTGCAAAGATCTGCTTTGTAACAGGGCACATATGGGCACATGTAACACAGGAGAGAAAATTGGTGTTCACAGTGTAAACTATGTTTGGTACTGATACATTTTATTAATCATAATCCTGTTTTGAATTTAGAAAGTTTCTGGCAGTACTTTGACATGGTAAAAAAACTTCACCCTGTACTTCACTTTTGCCGAATCGTGTTAGCTGTCTGAGTCGTCCCCTTATAATACTCTGGAAAGACCCACGTCTGTTTGTCCTGTAAATTCCACAGTTATCAGAGCTTAAATTTCATTTCAAAATAAATTACTACAACAGTGACAATGACATCTGCAATTAAAAAATACACATTAAATGTTTGGTGCCCATATGTCCTGTGATTAATTAAACCTTTTTTACAGTTCATAACTTTGAGTTGATTTTATCTTCACTTATACAGAGTTTAGCAACTAGTAACTCATTTTATTATTTCCCAGCAAAGAACATAAAATGTGAATAAAAGTCCGTATGTAATTTTAAAAACCAAGCTGAATTAAACACAAAAACAACTAATCCTATTACTCAAACTGCATTGCAAAATATTTCTGATTTAGTCCATCGTTTAGTGTGAAAAGTAATGTCACAAGGAATTCTGACATAAGCAAATACCTTACATTACCTCTATGGATCAGCTATCCGAAAATGTAATGAATGTACACCAAATATGTTAAGGCCATTCAGATCTAAAAGTTCAAGTAATCAGTGGTAGATGTTCCTCAGTCTGGTATATGGTCACACACAGATCTCATTAGATATCCCTTTCTGAAAAATTTCAACAAGCAATTCATAACCAGTCCTGACATCAACAAAATTGGTTGGATCCCATACAGTCTGCCTTTACAGCGAGTCTGTCCAAACATGTGTCTCTCAGTGTCTGCAAGTCCAGCAACCATCTCCCAAAAAAAGTTCTCCTTAATGGTCAGCATGGCCTGTCTGACTTATGTCTGACCTTCTGCCTAAGGTCACTGAGTTAACCAGTACTGGTGAAATACTCATGCCTGGTAACCAGCCAGTTTGCATGTCGATGCTCATTAATCAAAGATCCCACATGCTTCTAGCTTTTGAAATGCCACCACTTTTCTTGACTCAACTGGTGCTGCTTCATTTGCTTCTAAGGTCTGGTCAAGTCAGGTTGGAGAACGTGCACTGGTACAGAGCAGTGCTGCACCCACCACACGACAAAATACCTTGGGGTCCCAGTTGGCGACACCCCCAAGCCCCTCCAGTACCACCCTCCAGAAATGGCCATCTATCTGCCGCAGCCAGGTGTTATGTGGGTATCCTCTTGGCCTGATCTAGCTGCTTGGGTACTCAGCAATGAGGACCCAGTCCAACACCCAGTCCATGCAAGCATTGAGCAGAGTAAGAGCAAGAACACACCCCTGACGAAACCCAGAATCAACTGAGAAGAACGCAGAGGTTCTGCCTCCAACTTGCACAGCAGTCACAGTATTGGTGTACTTGGCAGGCATGAAGTCCAGAACTTCAGGGGGATCCCACAATGTCTCAGGATGTCGCACAGGGCAGCTTGATCAACTGAGTCGAATGGATTGACAAAGGCTGCATAGAAACACTGCCGATATTTGTGTTTGCAGTCAATGAGAGCCCTCAGTGTCAGGATGCAGTCAATGGTAGATTTCTTAGGCGTAAAAACAGACTGCTGGTAGGGAAGCAAGTGATCATGGATCTGGTTGAGGATGAACATAGCAAGAAAATTACCTGTCACTGAGAGCAGTGTTATCCCCCTGTAGATGCCTCAATCCATGTGATCACCATTTCCTTTTCAAATAGGGACATCATTCCTGTTTTCCAGTCAGTTGGGATGATGCCTGTATCCCAAGTGGAAGCAAAAATTGCTTGCAAAGCCATGAAGACAACCTTACCACCAGCATGGAGAAGTTCACCCCAGATACCACAGATCCCTGTGGCCTTCCCTATCCCAGTTGGTTCACCTCCCATGCAATCTCAGTGACACTGGGTGGTTCACAGATAATCAGAAGATCAGCCTCAAGAACTGTGGACCCAGTGATGTCCAGCTTTCTACCTTTAAACAACTGCTCAAAGTAGCCGAGTCAGCAAGTGTCATTCATAAGGACCATTCCATCACCCGTCCTGACTGAGACTCTCTAAGGAACAGATTCGGATGTGCATAATGCTTTGATTCTGCTCTAAACTGGATGGGGGTCGCTAGAATACAGATGGCGAGTCACCTGCTCAGAGATTCCTCTAACAAATGCCTCCTTATCTTCCCTTAGAGCCCTCACAACCATCCTTCTCATATTCCTGGTACATACCAGTTGCCATAAAGCTGTGCACTGTGACTCCTCTCGATAATATCTAGGGTGCCTTGCGAGCTGGGAACACCAGCAACACCAAGCCTCTGCAACCTTCAGGGTCTTGTCACAGAATGTCTCCCACGTCACAATGTGGGAGATCACCAGTCACACCCAAGTCTGCATGAAAATTTATTAGAAACAGCCTGATCTTGGAGTCAGGCCAAGTCCAGCCTCATTCTCCTAGTAAGTGGTAGCCTACTGAACCTAAGCTGAATTTTTAGAGTAGCAACAGGAAGTCTGCCGTCAAAATTCACAAACTGGACACTTCTGTAGATCCTGCAGTTCTATAGGAGCCTCCAGCATCTGCCCACGAGGATATGATCGATCTCCTTTGCCATACCACCAGTATCAGAGTACCAAGTCCAATGATGTGGCTCAGGGCACTGGAACCTTTTGCAAAGTTAAGGAACATGGAGCCAGTTTCCCCACGGTCACCAGATCCATGAGGACCAACACAATCATTATAGCCAACCCTGTCAATATCAGTTGTCACACTGAAGTCACCCATGACCAGAGGAGGGTCACCACGTGGGCACCCATCAACCACCGAGCACAGTTATGAATAAAATGTCTCCCTTATCGAGATATCACTCACTGCAGTCGGAACATCATCGGGTGGAGCCAACCCACCATAGCAACAGCTACTCACTGAGTATGGCAGCCATCAGAGCGACCAGACCAATAATAGGTGTACTGACCAATGGAGATCTAGACATTCCCTGGTCTGCATACCTCAGAGAGTGCTGGCACTGAAATGTAGAGTTTATGAAGCTCCTCCATGGTCATCATGGCAGAGAGACACCCATGCAGTAGATGATGCTCTCTGGCAGTTTGCTTCTAAGGTAACAAAGTACCTTGATGGATATTCAATTTAAATATAAGTACAAGAAAGACACTGAGAGGGTTTTGAAACAGATTCTGGGTGCCTGTACTTCAACAGAGGCTGGTCCATAGAGGTAGTATAGGTAGGAGGCCTACCTCCTCTATTCTTGAGCTTAAATTATGAACCAAGTAACTTTGAGAGTAACTTTGTAACTTTTAAATTTTGAAACAAGTAACTTTTACGTACATTTAAGGTTCCTGAAATAAAAAATTGCTAAGGTGTTTGTATGGGCAATACACTGCGTACTAGATCGTTTTCAACTGGTATTTCTAACAATGGCTACCTATGAACCTGGCTAGAGCAGGTATTGCTAAATGGCTTTCCGGCTTGAACTCGAGTGTGACAGCATTCCCAGCTCCAACTTAAGACCTGCGAGGTTAATGGAACACAACAAAAGTTAAACAGGACTGACCCAGTTGATGTCATCATTAGGGCACAAGCAACTAAGTGAATCCTGAAGCCAATGTCACAATTGAAGTGTTGGCCTATGCTTGACCTCATTGTTTAAATTTAGGGAGGAAACCTTTTAATAAAAATGAATTCTGGTAGAAAGCTGATGATATTGCATTCCATTCCCTAAAACATCGTGAAGCTCTGATGCAGATGACGGTTGGGTTAATATTGCCTAAATTCATGTTCTGTAATGTCTAGGTCAGTGCTTTCACTGGACAATAAAATGTTCTGTTACTCTGCAAAACAAAATATCTCCAGTCATAGGGCTATCCCATGGCTAACGGTAAGCCTGGTGTCTGGAAAAACATGGATTGCTATGATGCTTTTTATATAAATTAGGTCTTTATAATTTATGTTTACACAATACATAATGAAATCGATTGAGAGTTAGCAAACTATGGGCCTTTGTGGGTGATTTCTGCTTAGTGAAGTCACCTTATCTGAATTAAATGCTTCTTTACAAAATGTGTCATTACAGCATGTTTTCAATTCCGTTTGATTTTCGGACCTGAAACTGACCAGGGAACCATGAAAACGGCTGTGTCTTGGTTTGTCTCTCATAGCCAGAAGAAGGTGTGTGAAACATTGAAGAGTGGAGAGATTAGTTACAGCACTCTAAGGATTCGCAAAGACCCAAGTAAGGGCATATTACATCCTCAGCAGGATCAACATCAATTTGTCAGAGTCTCGTAGCATTTGAGGATACTTTTTAATTCCTGGTAATATGGAAGGAATTAATGAAATGCAGGAAAGTATTTTATAGATATTTTTTCTATTTGCTCAGATATGAAGACAAGTTTGGGCAAAGATTTCAGTAAGTTGTCTTGGAAACTCTAATGGGACCCATAACCCATCCAAGAATGACGACGCACACATGATATCTCAGAGGCCAAAGAAGCTGAGAAAATCATCCCTCACTTGAGAACACGGATACTCTGGGCCAGAAAGCTGCTGTCGGAACCCATAATAAATAATTGCGATGAAGAGACAAGTAAACATTTTAGGGAAATTAAAGTGAAACTGACACTGAAAGTCATATTAAAACTTGTGCTTCCACGTTTCACAACTTTCAGATGCACATTTCTCCCATATTTTTTTTTTCAATCGATAAAAACAATCTTTCAGCATCTGTAATCGATTGAGCCTTTTATGGTACGAGGATGATTTACAATGACAGCTTTGTGTCAACATGTTTTCATACGCAAACAAAAAACAATGCGAACAGCATGAAGGCTACTTGCTTGTTATCCTTTCATCAAATCTCTAAAATGGACACCAGTAAGCCAATTAATGACATTGTATTTGTTTATCAGAAATGTATAACCCTATATCTTCATATTTTATAGGTCACATGATGATTGTAATTTCATTAAAATACTATGTATTATGTAACTGAATCACCTGACTACAAAAGACTCAAGATGGTCTTTTATACAACCCGTGAAGATAATCGTAATGGTTATATACTTATCTGCCCAGCCTCTTTTAGCAAATGTCATACATTAAATATCTGTCTGAATGTCACTAGAAGTTTAGTTTAGAGTGACACATAGTGGAGAGAGCTAAATATCACCCTTAGATTTAGTCAGACATGAACTCTGTGGTCTAAGTCATAACTCCATCAAAGTATTTTGAAATCCTGGTGAGTCTTCACATTAGCGCACTTCTTTCAAAATGTTCAAGATGTTTTTTGCATTTAAATTATGCCTTTTCCTCTGGCGGCTAACAAGTAAGGCAAGTGCTACCTAGAGGATGTATGAAGGGATCATAAGGAAAACACATCCGCTCTATTTTCTGTCATCATAACAAGACATTGAGGTATTCATTTATATACATTTACTGTTCAGAAAACATCTGAATGTACCTGTGAAGAGAGCCATCCCACATTTAAAACTTTTAAGAAATTCATGGCACTGAACATGTAAAATACACAAAGAGTATTATCTTTACACAAGGAGCAGCAACATGTCATTTAGCACAAGGCCAATAAATCTAAAATCACAAAGGAATAGGCAAAGCAAAGTAAAATTCACCAAAAAGTACAATATCAGAAATATATATACAAAAATATGTGTATGCCTACAGTGTTTGGAACACTGAAAGATCACATTTATAAAAAAGGACCAAACTTGATCACTAAACAATAATTTATAAGGAAACACAATTTATGGCAGAAAGACGGTTGCTCTCATCTACGTTCAACTGTGAAAGTCTGTGCGTGCAACACAGCCACAGTAATGTAAAATATAAAATAAAACAGGGCACTTCTAATGTAATTTATTGACACAGGTCAGTCCCAAACGATGCTCTTGTTGTCAAAAATCCAGATATGGTCCTTGAAATAAAACAGCAATGGGTGTAGGACTTAAGCTAACAAAGCTGGTGCCATCGAATGGAGAATTTTTTTTTGAAGTCATATCGGAAACACATGGTATTATATAGCTATCTTCTAGCAATACAATTTTAGTCCAGACACTTAAGTCATGGCATGAAATTGTTAGAGAGGTAGGCCTATTTTGTTTATTTGCTTTTTCAAAAAAGTAGCAATTCTGAACACAGTAAATTTTAATCACATATAGCACTGGTAAAGTATTACCCCAAAAATCAGGTCACCAAAGACCTTGTAATACTTACGCAGAAGTAATACGCAAAACAATGTCTTATGACCATTCATTTGGTGGCGTGAAAAAACACAGAGCAATGCGTTTAATCTCATCCACATTGGATCATTTGTGAGATCGCAGCAGGTAGTCCTCACCTCCAGTATCATCAACATGCAGTTCAAGAGAATCTGCTTTTACGTAGCTACATGAGAAATGAGCATTTGTGTTCCATGGTCCGAAGATTACACTCAGTTTTGACGGCTGGTTTAACTCAGTATGACCAGCCAAGTAATTAATGTGAAGGGAAGAGGGCAACAGGTCACACACAGAGGGATTCAAAACTTTGTAAAATTCCCTACTTTCATCAACAGTAATTTTAAGATAAAATTTAGAGCATTAACATATGGCAATTTTCACCTCAAATTCAGTACCATATAAAGATGATGCTTTGACTTTTGACTTGATTCTTATTATTCACAGTTATATTTTGACCATGTGGCACAGAAATATCACAGTAACACCAAACTAATGGTGTAAGAGGGATGTAAAAGTGTGGCGTAACTTTACACTGTAACATGCAATGTTTTGGAAATGTTCCCTTTCATATACTGCTGCTCTGAAGGCAAAAAAATCCTCTCATGAAGTGTTTATTATTATTGTTATTATTATCATTATTTTTATATTATTGTCATTTTTATTTATTCATTTAATGACAATAAACTTGGAATTTAATAATTACGTTTTGCGATTAAAAAAAAATTGCAAATGCTTTGGCACTTTTACTTATGCACTGATGCAGTATTCATACACTGTACTGAGAGACTGGTTTAGAAGTAAATGTCACCCGCATTCATTATAAAAGCACATGACTTTGTGTCTTAATTTTAAGTCGTGATAAATGCAACAAGCTTCAGGAGGTGCAGAAAATGAACCCATTCATTACAAACTGTGGGTTTCTTGAAGTAAGCTTGGAGAGAACAGCACGCACTGTAACCCTTCCTGACAACACACACAATCAATCTTCCCAAAAAGCATCTAGACCTGCTATGGAATCCTCTTTTTAATGTATCACACATGACATAATTAAAACATGTTGCAAATGTTCCAGTAAATACACAAAAAAATTATCAAGAGCAGATTAACACTGCAAACCATTTTAGAAATTCTGAACTTAGTGCCCTTTTTCAGCTGAACGGGGACATTCAAAAGTCTTGAGTTCCAAATTTAAAGAAAGGGATAAAACGGTTCAGTTTCCAGAGGTCCAGGCAGAGAGAGGGAGGGCCATTACTCATGCAGTTGTCACGTCAGCCATTGCACAGAGTGATGTTACACAGAAGCTCATGCTTGAGCACAGTGAGACTCTGGCCCCATTTTCCATGGCCTTTGGAGGTGCTCCTGGTTTATCATGAGCGAGGCCTCGCACGTCTACAGCAACTTAAAGTGAAAATCCTCTGTGCCACACCAGGTTCTAATCAGCCTGCCAAACTCCTCAACACCCCCACACACACCTATGCACATGGGAGTCCTGTATCCGAGCAGATAAATTGAGTCTCCCATATGCAGCAGCGGCAAACTTTTGCCAACATCCAAAAGTTTCATAATGTCAACAAACCAAACAGCACCTGGATCAGCTTTACACCTCATGATACTCTTAGTTGTTTGGTTTTCATTACCCTCCCGTTCAGCAGCTTCTGATTGTGAAGGTGATTAATAAAAAGAAGCTGCAGTGAAAAATCTGTTCACTTTTACTATTCCTGTCAACATGTATCTCTTACAGAAATGGAATGGCTTCCAAGTTTACCAAATTACTGAATCTTCACATTTTACTCATTTAGCACATACCTTTATCCAGAGGCCTACGTTTTTGTTTTTTTTTTTGGAAAGCAAGATTGGACAGTAACTGGGGTTAAGGCTCTTTCTCAAGGGCCCAACAGTGTCAGAGACTGGCCATGGGACCATATTACAATGACCTTTAGGCTATGGGTACAGAGTCCTTACACAGGAAGCCTCATGCTGGCTCTCAAATGATAACTGTCAGAAACAGTCACTGTTAGTGAACATTACATTTAGGACTTACTATTGACCATGTAATTTTTATCAGCCAGTGTAGCAGCACAGATTAAGCTACACCAGTGTAAAACATAAATAGAACTGTCTCATCATAGAATACAATTATATATGGGGGCAGCTTGTGGCTCACTTGGCTAAGCCTGTGCTTGTGATTGGAATATTGCTGGTTTGAGCCCAGCCTTGGCAGAACAGTCACTGTGGACCCCTGAGCAAGGCCATTAACCCCAGCTCCACGGTGCCACTACAGATGGCTGTCCTTCACCGCCAAGCTTGCTCTTACCTACATATGTGTCTGTGTATCATGGAGAGTAAGATGGGGCAGTATAAGAGAATTTCCCCACGGCCTCAATAAAGTACTATCATCTCATCACAAAATACATGATTCGCTTAAACTACATTATGTAAATGATTCTGCACTTATTTTTTGATGTCTTTAGTAAGACTACAGACGCTCTCCTGCTTACGAACGAGTTACGTTCTGAACAGCCGTTTGTAACTTGAAATGTTATTCATTTGAAGTAGTTATTCAACATCATTTTAAGGGTATACGCAAGTACAAAGAACTAGGATGCTGAGTGTACACAAGCTACGCTGTTGCGCGGCGGGAGTAGCAGCCAGAATTCGTAAGCTAGGCGGAATTGGCGAGCAGAAAAAAAAATTATGTTGCAGACAGGAAACGAGAGCCCAACGGATACAATTTGGACTTAGTCCTCTTTGTTCATATGTCTGAAAGTTCGTAAGTAGAGGAGAGTCTGTATATATTAGACAGATGACTAACATTGGGTTGTATAACTGTTTTGGTCAATGAATCCTAAAGTAAATATGGATAAAAATGGGTTACATGCTAGCTGTAATTTCCGAGAATACAAATCAGGTGTTAAACAGGTTTGTGGACAGATACTGCAAACACTGGCACCGTATTTGTTAGGCCTTCATAGCAGTTGTTGCCTAAAGCATCACAGAAATCAGATACAGATCGTAACATAACCACTACTACAATGTTAAGTGGTATGAAGAGGCATTAAAAAAGTGTGACGAAATGAGGATTCACCCTTCATGTACCCACATTCCAAAGGACTTACGTGGGTAGAAATAACTGCAGAATACTCAACAGAAAGCAATAACAGATCAAATTTAAACGTGCACATTTAAAATGAATTCAAGCCTTGTTTATTGTATACCACACATTCCTCACAGTGACAAAACCCAGTGTATTTTACATGTGGTGATCAATCGACTTGAATTCCCTGATCAGCTCGGCTTCAGAGACATGTGTTGGAAATCGAGGTGTTCAGCCAGGCATGCTTTATGAAGTGGGGGAATCCGATGCTAGATCAGCATGTTAGCCTGGTTCAGCCAACTTTAAATTACTAAAAACGATTCCGTTGATGATGCCTTGACACTGTTTATGACCTACGATTGTTCATGACTGGCAGAGCACATGTAGTATGCAATTACAAAACAAATACGTTCAAGTTTCAGAGTAATGATTTCAACCAGGGGGGAAAAAAAAAAAAAAACAGTCCACACCATCTCTACTTCAGAGGACTGTTTGATGGACTTTAATTCAATGGGATCATCATCTATAAATTCAAGACTGATATTAGCTATACGGCCTTTATCACAGATACGAGCACTTGATGTTGCTCTCGTTAATTATCAACCAAGTTGAAAACTAAGTATTAAATACTGCTCTCAGATATTAACACTGCACTAAAACAGGCTCCTTCAGAATAAAAGGAAACTTCAAAGTTACTTTAATTCACTTTTCTGAAATGGATATTGAGAATTGAGTGTTTAAGAGGCAAAAAAAAAAAAAAAAAAGAGCAAAACGGAACATCCAAATTGTAAAAATCTAAAACAATCCCAGTGTGTCTGGAATTGTGATTTTTTTTTTTTTATCAATGTGACTAACCTGTACTCACGTTAGGAAATGGAGCAATTACAAAAAGCACCCTCACTTAACAAAACTGTCCAGTCAGCACCTCCGGCAGGTCCTTAGCAGCTCCACTGCGCAGTGGGCTCAGTTGGCCTTGGCACGGAGCTGCGCCCTCTTGCCCGTTACAGCCTGGAAGCCGGTCTTGATGCTCGCCACGGAACAGCGAGAATGACAGGTCTCGCACTGCAGGAAGTAGAGCCGCGTGTCCTTCTGAAGGATGGTGTCCGGGGAGCGGCAGGTGTGACAGGTCACATATTCCTCTGCGAGAGACACACACACACACACACAGATAAGATACTTTACATCCCAGATTTCCCAGAAGACCACAGACTTAATACAGATGCGACCTGATACAAAATGTGTTATAATGACAGGGTTCAAGCATATATTTTAATTATATAAATCGCATCTGAATTCAATAAAAAAATGATAAACAGTATGAAACTTGTATATATACCCCTTCTTCCAGATCTATAGTGGCAAATGATAAAGATAAAACCATATTATGATTTGTTGCTAACAAAGGTTAGGCCAGGGTACACAAAACACGGACATAACATCAAACTTACTAATATATCTTCGTAAGACATTTTCTATCTGTTTCTGCTGAAACCTTCCTTTTATAACTAGCTGGTTGTTTCCATCTATTGAGCCGCTGTCCAAAGAAAAAAAACAGCAACAATTAATGAGACAAAACTCAGCATGTCCAACACATCTGTGTTTTTACTCAGCTGTAAAAAAGCTGAAAATTTTCCCATACGTGTCATATTTGGAAGCTGTGGCCAAAAAGAAGGAGGTAAGAGAAGCAGTAAATCAAACCGGTAACAAACAGGCTGTGGAATGTTTAAGATCTTACCTCGTCCCAAGTTCGGCCAATAAGAAGGCCAAGAGATGTTTTGGCTGACGGTGCAAGCTAACAAAACAAATGAAACAAATTAGGAGAAGACAGGCGTGCGGGACCAGAGCGGCAACCCTCTCAATGCAGAAGGAAAAGCAGTGGCACTCACAGTTTGCAGATGTCAGTGAAGTTGACAAAAGACGTTTTCTTGGTGCCCACCCGGACCACCTGGGGGGGCTTCATGACAAACTTCCTCTTCTCCCCGGCCACCATGTCAGGGTTCTTTTCGCGCATGATGTTGAAGACTCGGGTCAGCAACTGTATACCAGATGCCACATGATCAACTCAGAGCTACTCCTGTCACTCCACAAAAGTGGCCACTGAGCGGAAGTGCTGTAAAAGCCACTGCTTCCTCGGGGCCATTTCACCCCACAGAAATGCCACTCAGATCATTATGCCCAAGAAGATGCCTGGAATGGTACCTCGTCATACGTGTAGTCTCGCTCTGTCCCAGCCCATGCCGGCCCCGTCTGCGCAACAAATGTGATGCCGTCATTGATTCTGCTGTCATCGTCCTCCTGGGCTGCAATTGGGAAGATTTCAATTTGTTTTACTTCATAGCTTACAATCCATCAAAATACATTCTGAGCACTTGTATCAAGCTAATTTCCACCCCCCAAAACAGATTAATTCCTTCTGATTCACAATGCTATAGCTTTTAATGCCTGAAAATTTTGGGGAAAATAAGACTCTGGACCCACACTGGGATGAATTATTACTTGCCATCAATCACTGTTTTGTTTCGGCTGGTCAGTTAGTTATGAGTTCCTACTGTGTTAAAATGGTTGGTGAAGGGCAGCACACAGTAAACCTTCATTCAACACTTCTCCTTTCATCAATAATAACCATAAACAATCTATTACTGTGTATAGATTTGTCCAAATAAAATACTCTGAGGTGGGTGTAGTTGTTAGAAATAGGGATGGGTTAGCATTGTCAAGTATTTGAGAACATGTAGAAAACTGAGGGGGAGATTATAAAAAATCTAAGAAATTAGCTATCACTAATAAGTTTGCAGTTTATTCATTCTGAATCTACATCCTCAGTTTCTGCACAAGCTTTGTCTGTGCTCTTTAAACCAATCCAGAGAGAAGATATCGAGCCAAAGCAAGTGTCGGCTCTGCTTTGCGTGTGAACGTTTAGGTTGTCATGGCTGCCATTAAAAATGCCCTTGAAATTCACACGCTGTGAAATTTGCTCTGAATAAACTTTAAATAAGAGTGAATCGTCAATGTGCCAGTAGAGACTTCTGGCAACCAGAACTACTGAATTCCCTTTCCCAGTACATAGAGAATGTATTTGTTTATTTTGGGTACATTTTCAACTCCTTTTCTGTTTTATAAATGTCATAATATTTTTCGCAAAGATTTCAAATATCACAATTTAAATCTTTCCAATATCATTCAGCCCTAGTTCCAAGACTACTTTTATCGTTTTGTCATCCTTTTCCAGCAAAGAGTTATGTCTCTTTTTTATGGAAATAAATTAATGGAATAGCCTACAAGCCAGAGAAGTACTATTAGAATTGTATTTTAAAAAATAATTGCCATTTGCTCTAACTGCCTAAGGCACAAGATATTTAATATTATTGTATGCTATTACACTTGAGCTATCTCAGTTCAATTTCAATTTCAAATGAATTAATTCAAGATACTTTTTAATGTTTTGTATAATTCTTTGGCTGTTGGGTAATATCTCATTTTGTATGGAAAGAAAATATTTTAGGGCTGCAACTAACAACTATTTTTCTATGGATTGATCGACTATTTTACTGAATCTATAATCTGTATAAATTTGGTTAGCGGAGCACCACACGCTGCTGTTTTGGTAAATAATGGATGCACTAAGTACTGAAGTCGTGGTGAAGAAAGGGAAAGCTGAGCACCTGCAACATCTTTTAAAACAGGAGATACTGTGGTTAAATTAGGTAAAATGATGTTGATGGGGTGGCAGTACTATTTGCTGATTAATGGCCGGCAGGTTTATTAGGTAAATACAGTTTTCATTTTTTATTTCAATTAATGATTTCTTTCATTAGTTCCTGTTTTCCTTTCAGTTTTAATTTACGATAATGACACTGGTCCCAACAAGCCCAACACTTACCGTCACACACACTGGTAATGAGATATTTAAAAAGCTCTGTATTAATGATAATTTAATAAACATGAATAGATAACACTTTTGGTGGGGTACTGCCTATTTTGGTGGTCCAGCATCCAGAATACAGCTCCTGTGTGTTCTCTTCAGGTGCTCGTGTGCAGTGCTAGCGCCACATGCTAGGCCACTGAAACTTTGCACAGCGCAAAACCACCATCTGTTTTTTAATGATAATTTGAACTACTCCCATAATTAAGCCTACGTAGTGATATTAAAGGAAAACATTTGTTACAATGAACTGAAGCATTTTAGAAATCAGCAAGGTAATTTCATTAAAATGATGCGTCGATTTAAAATATTGATGTCGACTGATTGTGGTAGCCCTAAAATATTTTGAGTATTACTCAATACAAGTTTCTTTGTTTCTGTGATTGGGGCTAGGGCAGGGTTAATTGAATACTTGAAACAATGACTGGCAAAATTTGACTAGTACTTCTCGCCAAAATACCCATCTCAAGTTAGGACTATGGACGCGTACCTCAGTGGTTGTGCGTTTAAGTCCCAGAAGGGGGTACATGTAAAGTATTGGAACTGCCCTAGTAAAATACCCAGCTGTAAAAATAGTATTTCACTGGAAGTATTTCATTATCAAGTCGACTATGTAAAACTAAGGTATACCTCATTCTTCCATCCCTACCTTCATCGTTGTCTTGAGCCTCGCCCTCATCCATGAAATCTACCTTGGTCGACTTCTTCTTCCTGGTCAATAGCAGTCCAGGTACAATCTCATCATCATCCACTGGCTCTGGCTGCTCTGCCTCGATCTTCATCTCCTGTAAAGACATTCCCTTCACATTCAGCCAGTCCACAGCAGCAAGCTGCCCACATAATCGGTTATCTGTTCATGGATGTAGTCATTCAGTAAGACAAGAACATGTTATGGATCTTAGTTAAATGATCAGCTTAAAAGGGTCCTTAAATACTGTAGAATTCGGTGTGCAATAACACTGCATTCAGAATGGAAAGAGATACAGTGATTACAGCTTGATTAACCTGCACTGACCTTCATTCCATCTTCTAGATCATTAAACTTCTTTATCTTCTTTTTCTTCTTTTTCAGATTAAAGAAGTTCAAGTCATCAAGATTGTCTGAGGGCTCTTCAGGGAGAATTATAATTGAAGGGGAAAAAAAATTAGACTATAAGTATTACCATTTGACACACATATATAGCCACAAATTCCACAGTAGAAGTAGCAGTCTACCTGTCATACATGAACTGCATTGTGACACAACATCATTAAACCCAAACCTAAATAACTAGCCCCTTGCCTGGTTTCTGTTGCTCCTACCTTTCTTCTTGGCCTCATCCTCCTCGTGGTCCATTTCCCGCTCCTCCCCACCCTCTGTGTCAGCCTCCTTGGGCTCTAAGGGCTGGGTGTCCTCACTGGGGGCTTCTGTCCCCTCCTCCTCCAGCATGAAGGGCTTCTTTTTCTTCTTCTTCTTCCTGGTCATGGTGGGGTCAAAAATCATCTGCAAAAAGGGAAAACAGAAAGCTAATTCAGAGATCGCAAACACTATTAAAAATAAGTCTGAGAAGGCAAAGACAAACATTTAAAAAAGGTCATATTAATGACAAAAGAATTTAATTTTAAATAAAAAGGTAATTTCACCCTCAGTCTAACTACCTAAAATTGTTACATTGTTTCATTAAAGTTTATCATTTGCTATTATTAAATGAGATCCAAAATGCACGTAACACCTAGATGACCGATGACAACCAATGCACCAATGTTAGACAATCTATACTCTTGTTACACGAAGTGAGTCCTGATGGGTATCCAGAAACAAATCCTATGACGCTACATTCAGTCCAAACACAAGAAAATAGAACAGAACAGATCAGTAATACTTTATTAATCCCTGTGGGCAAATTCCATGACACCCAAAGACACATATGCAGGTGAGATCAAGCTTGGGGATCCCAGCACAGGGTCAGCCAGCGTTCAGCACCCCTGGGGCTGGGGGTTAAGGGCCTTGCCCATGGTAATGAGACTATTCTGCCGAGGCTCAAACCGGCGGCCTTCCAATCACAGTCACACGCCAAGCCACACCAAAAATAGGAAGCCAATTTGTGTGTAGGGCAACAAAGCCCCTCTCATGACTACAGGGCTGTGGGTGGGGGGGGGGGGGAATAAAAATCAGGATAGCAGCTCAGTCCCCCAAGCATAGGGCTGGACAATAATTCGATATCAATATATATCGCGATATAATTTTTTTCGATAACGGTGATACGATTTTTAAACACATTTCCGATATTTCGATATACATTTGAATATTATATATA